AAAGAGATAGGCTGTATAGTTCCAATTTATATATCTTTTGTTAAATGGGACTTAATAAATAAGTGCATTTTGCAATGTATGTTAATAATATATCAAAGATGTAAAAATGCTGGGTACTAACACACCATAAAGTCTTCAATTCTGCTCTTGAAATAACACCATTCACCTAAAAAAAACATTGCTCCCAACCAAAAAAATACAAAAAAAAAAGTTTTGTGATATCTGAAAAACTAACATGATGGCAAAGTTTGTGTACCATGTCTCACTTCATTATATCCATCAAAAAGCCTGTGCAGTTAACACTTTGTATAGCGAACGTCCAGAAGAATAAACCACAATGAAGTACCCCAAAACTCTTCTGTTGGGATTTTGGGGGTTTTTTTAGCAGGTTGACTCAGGCCCCTTCCACATAGCTGAATAAAATCCAACAATATCTGCTTTGAACAGGAATATGTGGCAGTTTGGACTCAGGGCCCTTCCACACAGCCATATAACCCAGAATAACAAGATCGAAAATCCCACAATATCTGCTTTGAACTGGGTTATCCAAGTCCAACTGCCATATAATCCAGTTCAAAGCAGAAAATGTGTGATTTTATTCAGCTGTGTGGAAGGGGTCTCAGATAAGCCAGTTCAAAGCAAGTATTTGTGGGATTTTCTGTCTTAATATTCTGAATTATATGGCTATGTGGATGGGCCCTGAGCTATTTGCTGTAACTTAACAAAAAAGGAATTCTTGGTGATGCATTTAAGAGAGGAATACAACAATTTAAGGAGTGGCCACACATGCCTATTTCCTCGAACATGAGCATCTCCATACCACAATTTAAAATACATCAGATTGGAAGATTTTGCTGGAATTTACTTCCAGCAACTGTAATAAGAACAAGCTTGTTAAAAAAACCAGCAAGATTTGCCTTCCAAATAAAGGATTGTGTTGATCCTGTTCTACAAAAAATTACTTATTTGGAAGTTTAAGCGAAATCAGAGAGACTTGTGTCCATGTGGACATTTTTTTTCAGCATCAAGGGGTGAGTTTGGCAAGAAATAACGATTCTGCTCTATATACACTAGGATTAGGCAGCAGTATTTCAATTTCTAACATAACAAATACAAAACAGTCAATGAGCAACCGATAACATCGGCATGGGCAAATTTCGGACCTCCCTCGAGGTGTTTTGGACTTCAACTCCCACCATTCCTCACAGCCTCAGGCCCTTTCCTTTTCCCCCTCAGCTGCTTAAAACACACAGTTTAAGCGGTTGAGGGGGGAAAGGAAAGGAGCTGAGGCTGTCAGGAATGATGGGAGTTGAAGTCCAAAACACATCGAGGGAGGGGCCAAGTTTGTCCATACCTGTGTTAACACAAAGGCACAGAATTGTTGCTTCAAGCTTTACAACAGCAAGGGACTCCACCCCACACCCAAATTCATAGGGGAACAAGATGTGCAAGTTACATCCAAGGAAGGGCTTGGATGCAACCTGGCCCCAAAAACCTGTCTTCCCTTGAGTTCTTCTGTGTTTTGAGGGTCTAAAAAGGTCAGCGATGCCACTGAACTCTGTCTTTCACCTCTTGACTAAAGTTGCTTTCCATGGCCAGGCTGTCTCCCTTCCTTTTCCCCCTCCGAGGCTGATATAACCAGCCAAACAGAGGCGTGTTGGTAACTGAGGAGCTTCCTAACTTTCCCCAAAATACAGAGACTGTGGGTCATATGACCTGGCATTCTCAAGGGCTGAGAGAGTGTGACTGGCCCAAGGTCATCCTGTAGGTCTCCACTTCAAGCCATGACGCCACAGCGGCTGTCCAGCAAAGCTTATTAAACTTTAACACAAAAAGGGAACTTACACTGTCGTATCGGGTGCAGTTTGACATCACTTTCACCTCGCTGGCTCAATGCTATTATTAGCACTTTGGCAAGGAACTTTAACTCTGGGTTGCTGTGAGTTTTCCGGGCTGTATGGCCATGTACCAGAAGCATTCTCTCCTGACGCTTCACACACATCTATAGCAGGCATTCTGCCATACAGACCAGAAAACATACAGCAGCCCAGTGATTTTGGCAATGAAAACTTTTGACAATACGTTGAGGGGTCTGTTGTAAACTAGGCAAGTGGGTTGTTGAAGGTTTTCATGGCTGGAATCAGTGGGCTGTTGTAAGTTTTTGGGGCTGTATGGCCATGTTCCAGAAGCATGCTTCTGGAACATGGCCAAACAGCCCAAAATTTTACAACCTAGGCAAGTGGGGTTTATATATATGTGGTATAATGTCCAGGATGGGAGAAAGAAGTCTTGACTGCTTGAGGCCAGTGTGAATGTTAATAATCAGGGTCAGCTAACATCTCCAAACAAAGTATTCCCCCAGGCAGCAACCAGGCAGGCTTTGAAGCTGCAAGGCCATTCAATGCTAATCAAGGTGGCCAACTGCAACAGTCACACTTGTCCCAAGCCTGGACATTATTCCACAGATATATAAACCCCATTTTCCTAGTTTCCAATAAACCTCACAACCTCTGAGGATGTCTGCCATAGATGCAGGTGAAATGTCAGGAGAGAATGCTTCTGGAACATAGCCATACAGCCTGGAAAACTCACAGCAATCCAGTGATTCCGGCCATGAAAGCCTTGAACAACTACAACTCTCTTGGTGCCATGGCAGTGAACCATGGTAGTTAAAGTGAGGCCACACTGCATTCACTGGAGAGTGTAAACGTGCCCTTAAGAGGATTTGTTTCTTTGTTTGTCCGGGAAACAGCCCTACTTGGCTCCTCAGCTCCTTTCAAAAAAGACTGAAAATTAGGGAGGAGGATGTCTACATTGCTCCTATTACATTAATACCAAAAGATCTTACAATTTAGCTGCCACTTAATTACTTTTGATAGGGTGGCCATCACACAAGGGGCATGCAAACAGTCAGAGAGTTTCATTGCATTTTGCTCAATGCTTACCCAAATTAAAAGGGTACTGAACTGATGCTGGAAGAGCAGCAAGTACGTCTACATATTAAGCACACGCTGTCTGCCAGCCTCAGCTTGCTTCACATGTGCATTCCCTGTACTCACAGGATGCAGCATAGCCTATGGTGGTGCAATGGGTTAAACCCTTGTGCTGGCAGAAGAGCATGGATGAGCTCCCTTTGTCAGCTCCAGCTCCCCACGTGGAGACATGAGAAAACCTCCCACAAGGATAGTAAAAATCCAGGCATCCCCTGGGCAACATCCTTGCAGTTGGCCAATTCTCTCACACCAGAAGCGACTTGCAGTTTCTCAAGTCGCTCCTGATACAGAAAAAAACAAACCAGGACAGAGTGCTAATATTCCGCAATACACTCCGCAATACACTCCGTACCCACCTGATGTAGATGCACTTAAAAATGCTTGGACTTAGCAGTTCTAAAACCTAAATGATGTCCAGTTTGAAACCTGCTGCATGAAAGAGCCTGGAGGCGCGTGATCTCCTTTGCCCCTTCCTCTTCTGGCCAGATATAGCTCCCGACCCCAAAACCTGTACTATTCAACACTCGAGACTCTGCTATATTCACTCAGACATTCATGCACCAGGAACACAAACACACAGAACTCGTGGCTGATGATCATCCTGGTCCTCTTTTTCTACTGGGCATCTCCACAGACTTCATATATGGCCATGTTCCAGAAGCATTCTCTCCTGATGTTTCGCCTGCATCCATGGCAGGCATCCTCAGAGGTTGTGAGGTCTGTTCGAAATTAGGCAAGTGAGGTTTATATACCTGTAGATTACCCTGGGGGGGGGGGGGTGGAGAGAAAGAACTCCTGTCTCTTTAAGGTAAGTGTGAATTTTTCAATTGGCCACCTTGGTTAGCATTTAATGGCGTAGAAGTTTCAAGGTCTGGCTGCTTCCTGCCTGGGGGAATCCTTTGTTGGGAGGTGATGAACTGGTCTTGATTATTTCTTATCTGGGATTCCCTGTTTTTGAGTGTTGTTATTTATTTACTGTTATGATTTTAGAGGGGGGGGGGGTTCTTGAATTTTTTGCCCCCAGGCAGCAAAAAGCCCCCAGTGGCGCAGTTGGTTAAACCTTGTGCTGGCAGGACTGAAGACTGACAAGTTGCAGGTTTGAATCTGGGGAGAGCGTGGATGAGCTCCCTCTGTCAGTTCCAGCTCCCTATGTGGGTACATGAGAGAAGCCTCCCACAAGGATGGTAAAACATCAAAAACATCCAAGCGTTCCCTGGGTGACGTCCTAGTAGATGGCCAATTTTCTCACACCAGAAATGACTTGCAGTTTCTCAAGTCGCTCCTGACACGCAAAAAAAGCAAAAAGCCAGACCTTGACACTTCAAGGCCATTAAATTCTAATCAAGGTGGCGAATTGAAACATTCACACAACTTCACAACCTCTGAGGATGCCTGCCATTGATGCAGGCAAAACGTCAGGAGAGAATGCTTCTGGAATATAGCCATGCAGCCCAGAAAACTCACACCAACCCAGTCCTTCTGGCCATGAAAGCCTTCGACAAGACTTCATAGACTTTGGACTAGACTTCTTCCACTCGGCATTCTCTAGAGACAACTCCCACCATCCTAATCAACACAGAGATGTAGATATAAGGCAGTGGGTTGTGCTGGCAGGACTGAAGACCGACAGGTCGGAGATTTGAATCCGAGGAGAGCCCGGATGAGCTCCCTGTGTCAGCTCCAGCTCTCCGCACGGGGACACGAGAGAAGCCTCGCACAAGGATGGTAAAACATCAAAACACCCGGGCATCCCCTGGGCAACGACCTTGCAGATGGCCAATTCTCTCACACCAGAAGCGACTTGCAGTTTCTCAAGTCGCTCCTGAGGGGGGGGGGGAAGCAATGCGATGGGATGACGGGCACTTTAGTACCATACTTTCCCTTTCGAATGACAACTTTTGTGTCGTTCTCTGAGATCACCTGCTCAGAGAAACTCCTTTTTCCCATACCGGTTTGAAACCGCGTTAAACCGGCAGTGTAGGCGAGGATCCCGAGAATCCGGCTTACCTGTTGACCGGGCGCGATTGAAGCCGCCGCAGCCGCCGCCTCTTCTTGGACCGGCGGGAGGTGCCTCGCCACGCCCGAGCAGCTCATGGCCATCGGCGGGAGCTCACTGCCCGCACTCGCGCCTTCTCCCGGCCGCCGCCGCCTTCCTCTTCTTCCTCCTCTCTTCGTCCTCCTCCTCTTCTTCTTCTTCCTCCTCCCAGCCTGGGGCTTCGAGGCCACGTGGCGGAGGCGCCTTCATCGCCTTCATATATAGAGGAGCCCGGMGGCGGCGGCGGCGGCAGCGGCGGCATTCAGGGGCGGCAGCGCCAGGGAGAGCCGCTCGCCGCCTCCGCCGCCCTGATTCCCATTCGCGCCCAGCGAGGGGCCTCCGCGCTCTGCCAATGCACGCACAGCCGCCGCGGCCCAAGTTGGGAAACCACGCCCCCCTCGCCGCCCGATTGGTCCAAAGTTTGTGCCGGTCGGAAGGCCATTGGCGCAGGAGGAAAGGCGTGTCCGGGGGGGGGGGTCACCTTCATTCTACACGGCATTTGGACAACACTTGGGCTCAAGGCAGAGGAATCCAGGGAAGTGCAGGTTAGGGCTCTTGAAGTAGATTCATTCTCTAGTGCAGTGGTTGTTAAACCTGTGGGTCCCCAGGTGTTTTGGCCTACAACTCCCAGAAATCCCAGCCTGCTTGCCAGCTGTTAGGATTTCTGGGAGTGGAAGGCCAAAACATCTGGGGACCCACAGATTGAGAACCACTGCTCTAGTGAGATGACGTGGTATCCACTTCATCCCGCAAGGGCAGTGTTTCTCAACCTGGGAGTCGGGACTCCTGGGGGGTCGCGAGGGGGTGTTAAAAATCATCAGAAAACACAGTATTTTCTGTTGTTTATGAGGGTTCTGTGAGGGAAGTTTGGCTCAATTCTATTGTTTGTGATTTTCAGAGTGCTCTTTGATTATGTTGTTGTTCATTCGTTCAGTCGTCTCCGACTCTTCGTGACCTCATGGACCAGCCCACGCCAGAGCTCCCTGTCGGCCGTCACCACCCCCAGCTCCTTCAAGGTCAGTCCAGACACTTCAAGGATGCCATCCATCCATCTTGCCCTTGGTCGGCCCCTCTTCCTTTTGCCTTCCACCTTCCCCAACATAATTTGATTATAGGTGAACTATAAATCCCAGAAACTGCAACTCCTAAATGTCAAGGTCTATTTTCCCCAAACTGCACCAGTATTCACATTTGGGCATATTGAGGATTCGTGCCTAGTTTGGTCCACATCCATCATTGTTTGAGTCCACAATGCTCTCTGGATGTAGGTGAACTACAACTCCAAAACTCAAGGTCAGTGCCCACCTAACCCTTCCAGTATTTTCTGGTGGTCATGGGAGTTCTGTGTGCCAAGATTTTGGTTCAAGTCCACTGTTGGTGTTCAGAATGCTCTTTGATTGTAGGTTAACTATAAATCCCAGCAACTACAACTCCAATATGGCAAAATCAACCCCCACCCCCACTCCACCAATATTCAAATTTAGGTGTATTGGGTATTTCTGTCAAATTTGGTCCTGTGAATGAAAATACATCCTGCATATCAGATATTAACTGATTCATAACAGTAGCTAAATTACAGTTATGGTGTAGCAACAGAAATAATGTTATGGTTGGGGGTTGCCACAACATAAGGAACTGCATTAAGGGGTCATGGCATTAGGAGAATGAATCCACTTTAAATCCAGTTCCTGCCTCCTGCAGAATTCTGGGGTTTGTAGTTTAATGAGGCTGTTAAAGGCTCCCCCCCCCCTAAACTACAAACCCCAGAATTCTGCAGGAGGCAGCAACTGTCCACAGCCCTATATCCCAGAATATCAAGGCAGAAAATCCCACATTATCTGAGCGTGGGATCAGATAATCCAGTTTAAAACAGATATTGTGGGATTTTATGCCTTGACATTCTGGCAGATAGGGCTGTGTGGAAAGGCCCTTAGGGCCCTTCCACACAGTCCTATATCCCAGAATATCAAGGCTGAAAATCTCAGTTATTTGCTTTGAACTGGGTTATCTGCATCCACACTGCCTATATTCCAGGTCAAAGCAGATAATGTGGGGTTTTCTGCCTTGATATTCTGGGATATAGGGCTGTGTGGAAGGGCCCTTTGTAACATGGTTTTCGTTCCTAGGTAATAAATGTCACTTCCTAATTGGTTCTATCATAAAAGATATAGGAAATAGATATATGCAAAAACTCTTGTATATTATATATACTACAACTTTTGATATAATACAATTGGTATATTATATAATACTAACAGTATAATATACTGGAGATGTTATATATATATATATATATATATATATATATATATAGTGGTATAATCATATAATGCAATGTAATAATATAGTAAAGTAAAGGGTATTTACAGTATTTATTTATTTACCGTATAAATATTCCACCTCTCTCAGCCTGAAGACGACTCAAGGCAGTTTAGAGTCGCACAATTCAATGCCCCAAACAACATAAATACAATTTAAAAACATTTAGCAAATAATATAAAAACCATACAAAACCAATAAAAACATAAATCCTCAGCGTCTCTTGACTAACATCATTTTCCAATTCACGTCATCCAGTCATTCCATAGATCTATATTTGCCTGTTACAGTGCATTTGCAAATGCTTGCTCAAAAAGCCAGGTTTTAACTTTTTTACGAAATGTTCGGAGGGTAAAGGGTAAAGGTTTCCACTGACATTAAGTCTAGTTGTGGCCGACTCTGGGGTGGGGGGTCTTAATCTCCCTTTCTAAGCTGAAGAGCTGGCGTTGTCCATAGACAAGATCATGTGGCCAGTATGACTGCATGGAGCAGCGTTACCTTCCTGCCAAGGTGGTACCTATTTATCTATTCACATTTGCATGTGTTTGAACTGCTACTTGGAGAAGCTGGGGCTAACAGTGGGAGCTCACCCCACTCCCCAAATTCATTCCGCCAACCTTTTGGTCAGCAAGTTCCACAGCTCAGCAGTTTAACCCGCTTCACCATTGAAGGCTCCATGATATAGTACAATCTATATAAATAAATAATGTTCATTTGTGGGATTAACATAACTCAAAAACCACTTGGCGAATTGACACCAAATTTGGACACAAGACACGTAACAGGCCAACAAGTGACCATCACTTATAGAAATTCTGAAAAACACAGCAGAAGAGACTTAAAAAGCAAAAAAAACCCCCCAAAATTACATTTCAATGCATGCACAAAACCACATATATACACATATACACAAATATACACACATAAAATACATATACACAGACTGGGCCACAGCAATGTGTGGCAGGGGACAGCTAGTATATTATATAATACTAATAGAATAATATATTGGTAGTGTATTACATATATTGTGGTATAATAATAGAGTACAATGTAATAATATAGTAAAGCAAAGGGTAAAAATTCCCCTGACAATAGTTGGATGCCACTTGGATTACCTGGCTCAGTGCTATAGAATCAGGAGTGCTGTAGTTTTCCAATTCCTAGGATTCCATAGCATTGAACCAAGGCAGTTCAAGTGGCATCAAACTCAATTCATTCTATACTGTAGATCAAGCATGGGCAAACTTCAGCCTTCCAGGTGTTTTGGACTTCAACTCCCACAATTCCTAATAGTCCAAAACACCTGGAGGGCCGGAGTTTGCCCATGCCTGTTGTAGATGCACCTTCAAACCAATTATACTTAGGTTGACTCTTCACTCTAGAATGAATGCAGTTGAATTCAATTGCCATGGCTCAATGCTTTGGAATTATAGGAGCTGTTTTTTTTTTAAGGACTGTAGCCTTTTCTAGCGAAGAATGCCTCACAAAACTACAACTCCAGGATTCCATAGCACTGGGTGTTAACTCTATAGTGCAGATTCACCCCAGGAAAGAACAGCCTCCGTAGCATTAAGCCAAGGCAATTACAGTGGAATCAAATTTGGGGTTCATTCTGCAGTGTGGTTGTAATTTCAGATTGAATATACTCAGGCTGCATCTTCACTGTGGAATTAATGCAGTTGAATTCAATTGCTATGGAATTCCAGAAGTTGTAGTTTTTCCAAGTTCTTTAGCCTTCTTTGAAAAAGTGCACTGGCTACTCACCAAACTCCCAAGATCCCACAGAATTGAGCCATTGCAGTTAACATGGGTTCAAACTGCATTGATTCTACAGTGAGATAGATTCTCTACAAAAAGGACCCCCCCCCCTCCTTTCACAGTGGGGCAACTTTATGATGATCTCCCCCATTTCTCCCATACAGGCAATCCTTAGCTGTCTTGTGCCATAACCTCTTGACTGCAAACACAGAAGCCTGTCTGTGGGAATGCTAGGTCAAAGGAACTGTGGGTTCACTCCCTTGCAAGAGCCAGGCTGTTTGATGAGAAACCAGAACTCTTTGGCAAAGACTGCTGAAGACCTTCCAAAACTACAACAATATATGTTGTCAAAGGCTTTCATGGCTGGAAGCACTGGCTTGCTGTGAGTTTTTTGGGCTGTGTGGCCATGTTCCTAAAGCATTCTCACCTGATGTTTCACCCATATTTATGGCAGGCATTCATGTGAGGTCTGTTGGAAACTAGGTAAGTGAGGTTTATATATGTCCAGGGCGGGAGAAAGAACCTTGTCTGTATGAGGCAGGTGTGAATGTTGCAATTGGCCACCTTGATTAGCATTGAATGGCCCTGCAGCTTCATTGATTAACATTGAATGCCCTACAGCCAGGCTATAAGCCACCTTGAGTCACCTTCAGGCTGAGAAAGGCGGGATAGAAATATCGTAAATAAATAAATAAATAAATAAATAAATAAAGTTTCCTGTTTCCATACAGGAAACAATCAGGGCCAGCTAATACCTCCCAACAAAGGATTCCCTCAGGCAGGAAGCTGCAAGGCCATTCAGTGCTAATCAAGGTGGTCAGTTGCAACATTCACACTTGCCTCAAGCAGGGAAGAGTTCTTTCTCCCACCATCATTCCACAATATATAAACCCCACTTACCTAGTTTACAACAGACCTCACAACCTCGAAAATATCTCAGTGGTTGTGGCCATCCTTTTCTTCCTCCCTTGAATGTCTAGCATCATCAATTCCAATTTTTAAAATATGATATCTATGGATTCACACACCTGTGTTTGCCAAAAGTGTTTGAGGGCCTTTCTAAGTTCTGTAGTGTAATTCTGCAACATGCTTCCTGCCCAAGTATAGTCAAAATTATGGTTCATTATTAGTTTCAGGCATCACAAGGGGTCTTGGAATATACTTCCCATGGATAGGGAGCTATAGTCTAAACCAGTGGTTCTCAACCTGTGGGTCCCCAGATGTTTTGGTCTTCAATTCCCAGAAATCCTAACAGCTG